CCAAGCCGAAGTGCCGGTGTTGTCCATAGACACCTCCAAGGTCATGTGGCCCGCATGACTGCATGGAGCGCTGTTACTTTTCAGCAGAAGTTGTACCTATGGATCTCACATTTGTATGTTTTGAACTGCTAGGTTTGCAGACGCTGGGCCTAACAGCAGGAGCTCACCCCGCTCCATGGATTCGAACCACCGACCTTTCGTTCAGCAAATTCAGCAACTCAGTGGTTTAACCTGCTGTGTTACCATTAATTAATAACATTAATTAATATTTTAAGCATTAAAGGGTTTAATTTTTCAAAAGTAGAGGTGAACTTTTGTCCATGTCCAGTTATGACCTCATTACAAAGGCTGCTAGAATCACCACACATCGTGGCAATTCTGGCAGAGCCTGTTGGGGGGGGGGGCATAGGGAATCCTTCTCCCCACACCCCGCATTGTCCAACTCACCCAAGTCCCCATCCCATGGGGAGAATCACTGTCCGCCCACCTCCCCATTGTTTCTGGCACAACACCGGAAGCCTCCCATGTTGCCGCTGTGGCTGTATGCTCCATTTTGCCTTCCCTTTAAGCACAGAGCCCTGGCGGAAGTAGCTGTGTGTCGTGGAATGGGAGCTGGTGGGCTCTGTGCTTAAAGGGAAAGTGAAGTGGAACATGATGCTGAATTTAGTTTGGAGTTTAGAGGTGCTTTTTGCTTGTTTCTTGGCCAATCATACTGGTGTCAGAATGTCCCAGGCTGAAAAAAATGGCCAGTAAACCCACTGAAATTGTGAACTTGTTGTAAACCCAGCTCACAACAATATAAGGTGGGCTATTGGTAATTACTGGAGTTTGATTCCAGGACTTCTCATGGATATAAAAATCCATGGAAGTTTAAGTCCCATTATATACAACGCCATAGTAAAGTGGTGTCCCTTGTTGAAAATGGCAAAATCAAGGTTTGCTTTGTGAAATTGCTAATTTTTGAGGGGGTGGTTATTTGCGAGCCACAGATGTTTAAATCTGTGGATGCAGAATCTGTGGATATAGAAGGCTGACCATAAAAAGTTCACTTATCCTTCCCCCCCCCCCCCACTTTCTCTGTTATATCTGTACTTCTTAGATAGGTTCTGCTGGTGAAATAATGGGCCAAGTTGCCATACTAGAGAAATCCATGATGAATCTTTGCCTGAGTATATTTTTGTGTCATCCTCTCTCTTAAAGATAAAGTTGTGAAGTCCAAAAGGGCATCTTTACACATACCTGCCTCTGTACCCGTAATCTCACTTAACATCCAGTGAACTGGCCTTTGCAAAAGGCATTTTCTTTTGTACATTAAGCCCTGGAGCTTCCACGAAAGATGGGTCACAGGAGTGAATTACTTTGTTGACCCTCTGGGATTTCTGCAGATTCTTATCTAACCCAATTGTAAACTAAATCTTCCTTAGACTTTGTGCAGGGATAAGGAAAAAGAAATTAATGTTGTCTCTTTCGATCAAGATGCAATCCCTCTCTCTTCGTTTGGTAGACAACTTGCAACTATAAGAGCACAAAAGTTCGAAGGAAAACAAAAGCCATGGGTGTAATCTTTTTCTTTTTAAAAAGGATGAAGGGAATATTGTGAGCATAGCTTCTGCTGTGTTTGTGTTTTTATTTCAGTGGTTCTTATAATAACCTTTCTGTACCAGTGTAGGTACTTGCTAGAAAAGATGTCTAGGGACCTTATCACAAATGTGGTTTTTGGCCCATTTCTCCTCTTTTGCGTTTGGGCCTGCTGAGCGCCATCAGATGACGCTGGCTTGACCCGCCCCATTAATCCCTGAAGTGGTGAGGAAGTGTTGCAGGATGCTTTCTCACCACTAATTCAAGGTTAAGTTCATAGAATCATAGAGCTGGAAGAGACCTTGTGGGCCATTCAGTCCAACCCCCTGCCAAGAAGCAGGAAAATTGCATTCAAAACACCTCCAACAGATGGTCATCCAGCCTCTCCTTAAAAGTCTCCAAAGAAGGAGTCTCCATTACACTAGGTTGTGTTTTGGGTCGCTCCAATGGAGCTACCTGTTTGTTTGTTTTTTGCTCTATCTCTCATCTGATGGGGGGAACGGCAACGCGGCAAATATTGTGGTGTTATTTTGGCAAGATTTATGTAGAGGGGATTGCTTTCCCTTAAGCCTGAGAGAGTGTGACTTGCCCAGGGCCATCCAGTGGGTTTCCTTGACCATGTGGGGATTGGGATCACAAACATGCAAGAGTGTTTTGTAGTTTACTTTCATTTTTTAAGAAGGCAGAATTTGCTTCCATAGTTATCATGGAAATAGCTGGTGCTCAGTAAGAATTGATCTACTTTGAAATACTGGAGAAGAGATTATTGATTGAATCTACCAAAGCTTCCAGTTTAGCTTTGGTAAGAAAAGCCATTCTCAATAAGGACAAAGATCTATTTGGATTGGTGTCCCATTTCCCTAACTTGCAAGTGAGATGCTTCTGAGCAGTCAATAAACATGGTATGAAGACAATAATGGTGGGAAATAGCCTAAATCTTTTTGTTAGTTCTAATTAGAGTAATGGTGCTTCATGCAGTCATGCTGGCCACATGGCCATGGAGGCATCAACGGACAACGCTGGCTCTTCGGCTTAGAAATGGAGATGAGCACCAACCCCCAGAGTCGGACACTACTAGACTTAATGTCAGGGGAAATGGTTACCATTATTTTAATTAGAGTAAACTCATAGAATCAATATTTTTTCCTATATGTTTACTCACCATTTAACATTTGATTCAGTGGATCTGCTCTTGGGGGGACTAAGGACCTCAGTATATTAAGACCAGGATTTGCCATGCATTGTAGAGCATACCTGTTGCTCCATGTCCCACATTGCCTGGCTTTCCCCTCCCCCATCCCATGGGGGAAGCATCCACCACCTGGCTTCCCCCCCCCCCCCATTATTACCTATGCAACATGAGAAGCCTCCCGTGTTGCCTCCACAGCGACTTACTATGCTCCCTCCTCACTTGTGCCACAGAGCCCCACCGAAAGTAGATCTATGTCAGGGAATGTCATATGATGGGTAAGGAACAAGATTCCAAAAAAAGACCCATTTTACAGAGACCACGTGACTGTTTGAAGGCTGTCCAAAGTGAACTCCAGATCTGCAGTCTGTCAGCACAGAAGTCACCCGGGCACAATATTTCCATTATTTATTTCTAGATTTGCAGCTGGTTTTATGGGAGTTGGTGTCCTCTTTTGAGGTGATGTGTTTCCTCTTTTTTGACACTGTGTAAGAGATCAGATTAAGGTAATGTTGCATGGTGCATTTCCACATTACAATAGCCATTTGGATGTTGTAGTTGGTGAAGCACTAGTACTCTTTGGTTACAACTCATATCATTTCATAGCTATGAGCCCATATTAAAGTGTTATCAAACTGCATTAATTCTACAGTGTAGCTGCACCCAAGGTCTTCCACAAACATTTATTGCCTTATCCTGCTTTTGTTGTTCAGCTGATGGTCCACAGTGTCACCCTCCCTCTGAACTCAGACATTTCTCAGCCATAGGCTCTTGGGTGATATACCTGATATCTTGGTGACAAAGCATTGGTTTTAGAGTGATAGTTTTCAAAGTGTGAGGCAGGCCTCCCTGGGGCAAAAAAAACAAAAACCTGTGACATTTTATGAGGGAGGAAATAAATTTCTGGCACTTTGCAGCTCAAATTGTATTTTACCTGACTCACCCAGTGGGAGGTATAGACAGCCTTCATTCATCATCAGCTAATCAGTACATCGTGACAGCCTGTTTCCTCCTTATTATGTTGATTGAATTCTTGAATTTAAAGATATTAAGTGAACAAGCAATGGCTTACATGATGTAAAGCCTTTTGTTTCTCTGAAGATCTCTGTAAGTAGTAAACAATATGAGGTATAAATGCACTGGTGATATTTCTTATGCATCTCTTATCATTCCCCCAATCTGATGTATAGAATCACAGTTTATTTTCTGTATGAATTGGGCTTACATTTGCAAAATTATTATCAAAGGTTATTTTCAAATGTGATAATCCTTCTCACACGTTACTCAGGTGTTACTCAACTGCAGCTTACAAGAGAGAACACATTAGATCTTCTTTAAGAATAAGGAATCTTCTAACCTTTCACCATTGATATGTGACTCTGAAGAGGTTTTGTCTGGAATAGTAAATTATAACTATTCCTTACCTTGATATCACACTAAAATGAGAGCAGCAAGTACTAAATTAGCGAAAAAGGAAGTCCTCCGACATGAATGCAACACACAATTTCCCCACTTCCAGGTTTGTCCATTTCCAGGCGGTAGCCAAATAGGATTATATTGGTGGGATGCCATGTCTGATTAGCATCTACATTTGTGGGTCACAAGTTGAAGAGGCAGTCACTTGCTACCGCACTAGACTTAGGATCAGAAAAACCCAAGTTGCCATCTATGTACATTTGGTAGTAAGGCTATCTAGGTGAGCTTGAATCAGTTTCACACTCATTCATCCTAGTTTACCTTATGGGAGTAAAATAGTGAGAAAAGCATGTATACCATTTTGACTTTTTTGAAAGAAAGAGGGAATGAACCTGCAATACATAAACAAATGCATTTACTTCTGCTACTGTTAGAATTCTGCTACAGGGAATGGAACTTGCAAGGAAGAGAATATTGCTGTTATGAAAGCAAACACGCCAGTGATTTAATAAAAGGATTTTGGATATATATATAGAGAGAGGGGGGGGGGGGAGTTCAACACCAGTTTTCCAATAAATTTTGACAATGTATTATCCTTCAAAAACTGTAACATCCTTTTCCTGACATATGTGTCTATATGGGTTCGAAGGTGATGAAATGCGTAAATTACCTAGGATTTTTCCATGACAATAGGTATCTGTCTGCAACACTGACAAAGTGTAAAATACATATTCAAGCAATAAAACTGTAAATAACGAGTGACAGAATATAACAAGACTTATTTTTTAATGTAAATATTGTTAATTTTTCTTCCTAGTCCCACTGCTGAACCTCCAAAGATAGCGGTTAAAGTTGTAGAAAGGTTAGTACTTTTAAAAATTATTTATTCATAATAAAGTATACAGATCACACACAATTAACATTAACATAAAATGTACAACCACCAATTAGTGATATATTTTTGTACATTTAATCTCTATGTGCACTAGTACTCTTAAATAGTGGTACCTGGCGATTATTTTAATATGGGATTATTAAAAGCAAAAAAAAAAAGTCAGACTGTTCAATATTTAGCCTAGTGTTTTCTACTTTAGTCACTGCCACTGTCTTTGGTTGAGGTTTTTACCATCATCTGCTATGTGTCCATCTCCGTTACTCAGGACTTCATCACAAGGGTAAATTTACCAGTTGTACAACACTTTCACCACAGTTCGGGGATGGAACCCACCAGATCCAATCAAATGATGTACATCTACTTCTAGCGGGGTTGGTCCTGAACTGTGGTGAAAGTGTGTAAGAGGGAGCAATGAGGCTTCCAGTGTTCTCGTCGCATACAATGGGGCAAGCGTGGGGAGCCGAACTGGAAAGCGTCACTTTCCTCCATGAGTTGGGGAAGGATGGCAATATGGGGTGTGGAGCAACAGATTCCCCCACTGCCTGCCAGATTAGCCACGCTGCCTGGTAATTCCCCCAGTTGTCACCTGCGTTGGACGGCTGATGGTGATGAGGCCCCTAGAGTTTTGAGTCTGGGTGGTGGTTTATGCCTTTATGGCTCCTAGGAGGAAAAGCAAGACCAAGGTTCAGATTTTACAGAATAGTTGAATTTAAAGGCAAAAAAAAAAAAAAAAACCCCAAACAAGAAGACATTTTTTCACCTACTGCAGAAAGAAAGGAAAAAGAGTAGCAAAGGAGAGGGAGGGAGGAAGAAAGCAAGCAGAATATAGATCAGAAAACTGAATACGGAGGATATAACAAAAAGATCAGAAAGGAAGGAAAACAGGGCAAAAGACCTTTTGTCTGTTATGCATCTATTAAGACAGAGAGACTTCTCAATGGTATGTCAAGTAGAAGCAGGAAGGGAGTCTGTTCTCAGGCCACAATAAGTAACCAATTGGGAAGAAACATGGAGTAATGATTCTTCCTTTGCTGCTCTCACTCTCACATGGGGAATAGATTATTTTCCCAAAACAGGTCAGTGTCAATATACTATCACACACACATAATGCATACCAGCCAGTGGATAGCTTTTTGAAAGCACCTGGGATAATCATCTGACAAGGGTGTTAACTGATTTCTGTTGTAGTCACTCAGAGCCCTGTTTTCAGGTTACTTATGGTGAATTCATGCTTTCTATTAGAAAACTGGTCTTATTTTCTCCAGATTGGAGATATTATTTAGCTTGTAGATGCCATTTCTCAGTATGATATTGATTAGTCATTTTTGTTTCTCTAAAATTGATATATCAATCCAGGATGTCATTATAAACCTGCGAACTAGGACACCAAGTTAATTGACTAGTTTTACCATTTTGTTCATTCAGATGCTTTACATTTGGATATATTTCATCAGAAGGCCCTGATAAGTTTAAGCTGTCATGATGTATGAGTTTGCTGATTGTCTGTAAATTCCTCAAGTTTTACTCAATGTAGTCATTTCACTGTAGCAGTCTTTGTGTTTTATAATAGAAGAAGTTGACTGAGAAGCTTTAGAAAAATAATTCTAAATGATAAAAATGCAAGTAAATCTAGGAAATCCTGAGTGTCTAATTCCATCTAATGTCATTTTATGTGATTGATAATTGCCATCATTGACAAGTCACCCTCCAAGTCACCCTATCTTTAGCAGCCCTGTTCAGGTCTTGCCAACTCAGAGCTATGGCTTCCTCATCCAGCTGGAACACAGTTTCCTCCTTTTCCTTCTATCTTTCAAAGCATCCTTACCTTTTCTGCCTGAGATTTTGAATTGTTGCATACCAAACAAATTATTCTGAGATATCTTGATTCAAACTAAGATAGATCTTTCCACTCACATGTACTTAGAAACAGGGAGTAAGAAGAGGCTAAAAGAGCAGATGTCAGAAATCTGTGCATGTTACTCAAAAGTAAGTCCCGCTGAGTTCAGTGGGACTTTATCCAACGTGTATGTTTGCAGCCTAAATGTTGTTTGAAGGGCCATGTCCATAGTTTTCTAAAATGTCAAATTATGCATTCATAAGAAATTATGCAAATTAAATTTGCATATATTTACTTTGCATAGTGTATTTTACCCTTAATGATGAATTTTCCATTTCCTTTAAAAATACTGCTTACATTGGTTGAATAGGAATCAATAATATGAAGACAATGGATTAGTTGAAGGCTGCAAAGTCATGTAACTGTCAGATCTCTTAGAGCAGGGGTCCTCAAATCTTTCAAACAGAGGGACAGGTCACAGTCCCTCAAACTGTTGGAAGGCCGGATTATAATTGGGAAAAAAACATGAATGAATTTCTATGCACACTGAGCATATCTTATTTGTAGTGCAAAAAACACTTAAAAACAATACAATAATTAAAATGAAGAACAATTTTAACAAATATAAACTTATTAGTATTTCAATGGGAAGTGTGGGCCTGCTTTGGCTGATGAGATAGGATTGTTGTTGTTGTTGTTGTTGTTGTTGTTGTTGTGTGCTTTCAAATCATTTCAGACTTAGGCTGACCTTGAGCAAGGGCTGGGTAAATGACCTTGGAGGGTCGTATCCGGCCCCTGGGCCTTAGTTTGAGAACCCTTGTCTTAGAGCTTTAGAGCAATAGATTTTTTTTTAAAAAAAAGTGATCACTCTTAATAGAAGTTGAGGCTCCATATAAAAATTGGCACCAGTTCTAGCTTACAAATTTCTATGACTAGCCCACCATGGCATTGTTTGTTTTTAAAAATGGAATCTGATATTTTCAGGATGCCAGATTATTTACTCGATCCCATAATTGGATAGGTCAAAAACTGTAACAACTATACAGAGTATAGTGAGTGTACTTTGACATCACCTGTCAACTGACCCCATGAATTTTGTGAGACATTCTTAGGCAAGGAATATGCAGAGGTGCTTTTGGCAGTTCCTTCCTCTAGAATACAGCTTACAACACCTGGTATACATTGGTAGTATCCCACCCAAATACTAATCAGGACTGACCTTGCTTACTTTCAGTGATCACACGGGATCTGGTGCCTTTAGAGCAGTGATTCTCAACCTGTGGGTCCCCAGGTGTTTTGGCCAACAACTCCCAGAAATCCCAGCCAGCTTACCAGCTGTTAGGATTTCTGGAAGTTGAAGGCCAAAACATCTGGGGACCCACAGGTTGAGAACCACTGCTTTAGAGTGTTTTGGTCATATACAGAGTATTACATTGCTATTGTTGTAAGTCATGTTTAGCATTAACATACTTTGCACCACCATGCTACCCTGGCCGTATCCAATATTGCCTGATTTGTTATTGTGTTTCAGAAAAAAAGTGTGATATAAATAAAATCAATCCGTTTTGGAAATCTCTCTTATCTTTATCTGCTGTACTTATATCCTGCCCTTCTCACTTATATCCTGCCCTTCTCAATATCATTGCCCTTCTCAATGAAATGAAGCAATGTAAGGTTGTATTAGTACCAGGGAATACTTGGGACCTCCAGGCTAAAAAAGCCTAAAACCACAAAGAACTACAGAGATTACAATACTGGGTAAATGAACCAATTATCCAACTCAGTATGATTCAGATTTCTGTGTCTAGTGCAAGCTTCCATAAGGTTGGTATCATGTTTTAAAACTCTCCCATCTGTCTGTTGCAATGAACAAACAAACTGGATTATATTGCATTTGGATGAAACATTTGGATGATCCCCAAGACAGCATGCCCAGCTCCATGAGCTGTATTGATTTAAAGTGGAAAATGGAGTTCAGAAGCTTGTCCAGAAGGTGGCCATAGGGCACTTAATTCTACATAACACAGCCTGATACAACCATATGTTACAAGGGCTTTCAGTATAGTGTCTAGACCTACCATACAGTCAACTGTGAACTTTCTCTCTTAATTTTTCCTTCCATTTAGTTTCCTCAATGTGAAGATTAAGGAGTCTTTGCCTGAAGAAGAGTCTATTATCCAGATAATAAAAGAGGTGGAGGAAAAGCATGTCAGCATGACAAAGCGTGCCACCAGTGCAAGAAAAAAAGGAAAGAAATAGGATAAGAAAGTGGTAACTTTCTTTTCATTCATTCTTCCTCATTGTTATGTGTGTATGCACACACAGAAACGCACACATGCAAAATATATCTTTAATGTACCCACAGATTTAGCTTCAGCAATCACTATTTATTCATTATAAAGCAAAATCCCAAAAGGTATCTGTTTTGTTTGGATGGCTTTGAATTATTTTCCTGTACAACCCAAATAAGCACCAAAATATGCAGGAAATGTTCATGAAGACTTTGAAATGAAACGTAGAGAGATTCAGGGTCAAGCAGATCTCATCACCCAAGTGGGAAGCGCTAGGAAGAAAAGCAAGAGGGCTATTTGTGTGAGATAACAAGAGAGTTCACAAAGAAAAGTAGAATGGCACAAATGTTGAGCCAAAAGGGAGTCTGTGCACTGCTAGATGGGTTGTATTTACAAAATATTAAATAAATGATTTATCTTCTTTGCCCCTTGCTCAAATGAGAGGCAGAATGAGACACGGACAGCATTGCAGATGTCTATGGAATTGTGTTCCATTTGGGAAGAGGATGCCAAATGGGAAGCCAAAGGTTGAATATTCACTTTAGGGGAGAGGGAACAATTCAGGAGAATTACACGGTTATGGTATGGCCCAGTCTGACTAGAACGGAGCCTAAACCTTTTCCACTCATGACTTCTTTTCACCTGAAAATTTTTTACACAACCCCAGTTATATGGGTATATAAAATATGTATACAAATCAAACATTTACTGAAAATAAATTATACATAAATTTATTTTAAAACAATTATTTGCTACACATATTATTTTACCATTTATTAAAGATTGCATGCTAATGAGATGAATGTACTTGTTTATTTTCACATAAAAAATTAAATCTTTACTGACTGTTTGATCCTGAAAAATGTCAAGCATCTTCAACATTTTTCAGAGTTTATCGATATTTTGATTTTATAATCATCAATGCTGAGAACGCTGCTCTCATAAATACATAGTACTAAATGGCAAAAAGTTTAGGGCCGTTTCAGGACAT